TGGTGGACGTAGGATTATTTTGATCCGAATCACGTTAAATCTTGTGTTCTTTCTTTTACGTTTTCGCTAACAATAGGAATATACCTAATCACCGTGCTTAATTAAATATCGTAGTCTTAATGCGTTCTTAATAGATTGATTTCACAGGAATATAGGCGTTAATTTATTTTGAATAGGCGAGTAGTACTTCGGGAGAAGGCTATGAGAGCATTTATCGATTAATTGGCAACCATGAGAGAATTGTATGAGAGGGAGAGTTAACTAGAACACACTAGGATTGGTGAATCGATCACAACCCTGGAATATTTGTCTCTATTGAATACATAACAATCATTTTACTGCTTGATAATTTAGTTATAAATATGAATTATAGTTTAGTATAATCACATTCTTGAACTTGATTGTGGCTTGACTTAATAACAATCTTGGTAATTTTAGTGGGTATACTTGTGTACGAATTTGGGACAAGGGTGGGGTGTGTAGGGATGCTTTTACATGCTAGGGAGTTTGGGTTTGAAGCAAAACATGTTCCTACACCATCTATCTTATACCATGTATGTTGTAGAATCTTGTAAATTTAACTAATTTAGTGTAGGCTAGTAGTTGTGGAAAGGTGACATGATAGAGTTTTAACTGCTGATAGACCGAATAAATGGGGGATGAATGTCAACACACAATGTATATTGTGCCAGGTACAAGAGGAGACACGAGACCACTTGCTCGTGAAATGTGAACATACAAGGAGAATCTGGCATAAATTGTGGCAATGGATAGGGTTACAGGAAGAAAACAGCATGAACTGGGATGACTTCAGCCGATGGATCATCAAATGCGCGAAAGGAAAATCTCAACAAGCTCAAATCTTTAAATTGGCGTATACAGATACAAGTTATCATATATGGATTGAGAGGAATATTAGGATATTTGAACACAAAAGCAAGAGTTAGGAGGACATTGCCAAAGAGATAGCCTCTGTATGCTGTGCACGAGCCTCTTCTGGGATTGTCCATAAACTTAGGATTTGTCTGTTTTGAAACTTCTTTGTAGCTGAGTAGATAATATATTGTGAAGAATAGTTCTTTTGTCTCAGTTTTAGATAGCTAGCTTTGTTGGCTTAGCTATGGCTTTGTAAATACTTTACATTGGTGATTAATACAAGTAAATTAGTTACCAAAAAAAAAAAAAAGCTAGAAAGTTCATTTTCCTTCCCTGATATTCTCATGTGTTAAACGTTTTCAACTCTTACAGTAATACTCATTCTCGTAAGCCAATCCATTAAAACATACAGAATGTCAAATAAAGGACTACGTGACGCTTGCAAACTACTTTTTGGTTGTCCAAAAATGCCAAAAGAAAGTGGTTTCCCCAGATGTATAAATCAAATGTTAAATGAAAGCTTCACTTTTTAGAAGAATGTAGCGACACGAATAAGATAACAAGTAAAAACTCAGTAGGATCAAAGTGTTTAACTTTCTGATTGCAGCAGTGTGCAGACTTTAGTAGAGAATTCAAGTTGGCTCCTTTTCATGACATGTCTTTCTCTACTACTCATTCTCTCGTTACAAAAACTGTATGCCAAACACATATAGGGTTACAATTAACAGCTTCTACACATTGGCTGGTCTATGCTCCTAAGACAATCCCAGTTTCTAAAGTTTTGAAAGTCTCTTGTAAAAAATTAAAAAATAAAAAGAATACACTAGCGTTTCAGCTGCAACTTTTTTGTTCTACACGTCTATTTGCAGTTTTTATGACACTCCGCAGTTAAAAAACCTACTAAATCCATATGTTAGGAACCTCAAGAAAAAATTTCATCCATGCCTCTCTACGATATAATGTATGTAATAATGTTTAGCGCCTTCTTGTCTAGCAACTTCAATTGGAAAAACTCCTTCTCTGAGAATCCTACTTGAAACAGAAAAAATGATTTGACAGTTAAAATATGCAGAAATCGAGTTCAAACTGACAATGACAAGAATTTCGCATAGGAATACTCACTTCCAGCAAATAATATGACACAAAGGCTTAAATTCTTCAATCAGCGTCACCTAGTCCATCCTTACCATCACCTCTCTTAGATATAGGGGTAAGATGCGATTTAGGATTTTTCTTTTGAGAAGCAATTTCAGCATTTCTACGCAAGACTGCTCCAGGAGATGGGTATGGGCGCTGCTGAAAGAGAGGACCCTGAAATTTGAAGAACCGTTAAGATCATTGTTAAAGGTATAAAAGGAATAAAAGCATATATATATATATAAAGCAGGAAATTGGGAGCTCAGTGATATGAGGAAGCCACTAATGTCTGTAATGGAAGATGAAACCTTATAACTGCAGCCAAATGGTTGTCGCGCCGAATACAATGATAATAAAGATAAAACCAAATCAAGATTAGTGCAAATTGCAGTCTCAAGGGGTCAATTTTACTTTTGAACAGAATTTTCAACTGATCTCGACTTTAGCCAGTGGCACTCAAAGATATTAATACTTCAAGAATGAAATGTCATTAATTAACAACTGCTAGCAGGTTCCCCCACACATCAGAGATGTCTCCTTATCCAACACCTCTTATGGACGCCCATGAAGGACGTTCTTAATAAATTACAAATAGAACACACAAACCAGCGAGAAATTCTATTATCCTTTTCTGCATTCCTTTTTCTTTGTTTGATAAGTGCTGACAAAACACCTGGATAACTCTACAAAGCAACTACGATGCCCCATCAAAAGTTTTGAAGTCTTAATTAGATATTATAACTGTCTGGCCCATTAAGTGTATAAAATTGGACAAACATGCTCGTGCATGTCAAGCAGCCTAAATGCTTAAAGAATACTAAAGATACGTTAACTGTGTGTCCAGAATTGTTATACAGCCAGCACATGGATGCTTCAGAGAAGCTCCTGACCCAGCTAATGTAACAAGAAATACAGCAATTCAGACTAAACATGGAACGAGACGAACCGGCCTATTATTTAAAGAGCAGACAGTAGAATGGATTTAGTAAAGTATCTACTTCTATCACCAAAACACTTGACCCATCCCAATACTTATATATTTTAAATTATTCTTGATTTGCACCCTTCTTTACTAGAGTCTGCACTTCAATTGGATTTGCGCTTAAAGAACTAACATAGCCTTCTTTATGCTTTTCTCCTCACAATGTGACAAGTCATATCGCTTTCCATGGTGAAAGGAAACTTGGGCACACGACTCTTGGATCAATGATGATAGAATTAGTTGTGATAAAAGAATTCCAGTATCAAGTTTCCTGTACAGAGTACATGAAGGTCCTACTTATATGAGATCGAGTTCTTACCAATTTTAGATAAGAACTGCTTAGTTTGTGAAAACTTCCCAAATAAATCACCAAGAGGGAGAATTGCTCGGGATTAAAGAAAAAAGGCAGTGCTCGGGATTCTAGCACCATGCCTTCACTGTCAAACTCGAAACATTCTATCACCACCATCTACGTATCATGATTTCTAACATTCTATCACCACCATCTGAGAGCCAACACCGCTGCGACCCCAACCCAAAAAAACTTTCCGGCAAACAGTCCCCCACGCGCCCACACGCGCGGTCCCTTTCCGGCGACTTCCCGGCCACGCGCCGGCGCGTGAGCACTTTCCCGACCAGATCTGACCAGGCCGTCTTCAGACAGCCTACTCGTCGTACCATTCCGAGCCTACCCCTCTATTTTTCTCTGAATTCCGACGACTTTCACTATTTTCCGGCGACTGGGGCTTCTTTTTCCGGCAGAAACCAATTTCTCTTACTTCAATCATCCCCTCTGATAGGCTACGAATGAAGGACTCTACAGAGGGAAGTTCATACTTCTCTTTAGAATCAAGAAAGCTAGAAAATATGTCTTTTATCAAAGCTGTCTCTTGGCCAACACTAGAACTTGGGGGCAGATGTAATCGAAAGCTCGATGCAGGGCAGGAGCCGCATTTCTCACTGTCTGAGGACCATACTCTCAGGCGTAAGGGTTTCCTGAAGTCTTGTCTAATTGGGTCTTTTTCCAAATGGGTTGGTTCTCCAGAGGCTGTTAGGAACTAGGCACTAGAGGCATGGAACGTCAAGGACGGGCTAAAGATATCACAATTAGGGGATACACAATATCTCTTTCGATTTATTGACGAGTATCAAGCTTCAGAAATTCTCGTCAGAGGAAACAGATGGTTTGATGGGAACTTCTTAAAGCTAGACAGATGGGTGGAGCACGATGGGTGCCTTGACCCCCGTTTTGCTGGTAAAACTCTATTGGTCAATATGGTCGGTCTCCCGGTGCATCTTTGGTGTCTTGACCTATTCAAGAAGATGGGGAAATCTGTGGAGGTTTTATTGATGTCATTTGCAGCCTACATGATCTATCGCGAGTGAGGATTGTGGTGAGGAAAGGGGGCAGAATTCCTGTCTCCACCGTGGTGGAAGATGGCTACTTGAGTTACAGGGTTTGGTTGAGCCCTGAATTTCGCCCGATATTTATGCCAGTAATACTGGCGGAAGAAAAGGGAAGGTCAAACAGAAGGGAGGGGAGAGGTAATCAGTCTATGTATGGAGGGGAGAGAAATCAGTGGGCTAGCCCAGAAGCAGAATATAGAACTAGGCAAAATTCCAACAGAAGGGTAAGACGCGAATACCCCGGGTTAGTAACGTGGGCTGGAAAGGCAGAATGGGTCGGTCCTCTTCTAATTATCATAGGGCCGAAAAAGTTCCAAGCAAGCATAGGCCAGGGCCAACACACGGGACCGACAACTTTTCCCAACTCCATTAGAATTGACCCCAAAAAGCCGAGTTCATTTCAACATGCATCCTTTAAGGCTCCTAAGCATACGGGAACAACAGCTTTTTTCTACTACTGGAAACGGTGCTTCGAATAGTGGCATTTCCTCACCGAGCTCCAGTGACTTGCATCCATCTGATCCAGAGGCAGCACCGGCCAAAGCTGGCGGTGTTGTCCAACAGCCCAAAGCCTCTGAGGGACCAAGCTACAACGCCCCCTTATCTCATCCGGTGATTAGACGTGCCGAGGATTCTCCTCATGATTCTCCGCCCTCTGTGGAGATTGTTGCGTTGACCCCAGCTGCGGCTAGTGCCGGGCCATTATCTCCAGATAATGTGACACACATGGCTCAGTGTACCAAATACAATGCTGGCCCTCACGGTCATCCTAATAGCAACAAGGTGAAATCTCCAGAGGCTGGTGCGTCCCAACAAAAGGGTGAGATCCCTCTGGCACATAAGGTTGCTAGTGCTAGCAATGCCATGGTCCTGTATTCCCCAGATAGGGGTAAAGAAAGGGCATTAATAGAAGACGCATGTCCAATTTCATCATNNTGGAGGATAAGCTGTTAAACTTTGGGAAGTTTTTAGGTGTTTCTTTTGAAGGGAAGGAAGATAGGGTGTTAGAATTGTTAAGGGAGATCGAGCAGCAGTCTCTTAATGAGGGCGTAAGGAGGGAGTTGGGTCAGGGTGATAAGCTAAATAGCAATGGGGGTGTAGTGGTGTACCAGAGAAGGGGTCGGGTGTCCGACATGGAGGAAGGGAGCTCGGCAAGGGGAGGTGTGGAGACAGGGGATATTGTTTCTTATGGAAGTTAAGATCCTTTCATGGAATGTGAGGGGGATGAATGACCCAAACAAAAGGGTCATCATCAAGGTGGGAGTTAGAGAGTAGGGTGTCAATCTAGTTTGTCTTCAGGAAACCAAAATGGAAGTCGTGTCGGACGCAATTGTTAGGAGTGTTTGGGGAGGTAGTTGGGTAAAATATGACTGGGTCCCATCAGCGGGAAGTGCAAGGGGTATTCTTCTTATGTGGGATGATAGAAGTTTGGAGGTAAAGGAGGTCAAGAAGGGAGGCTTTTCCTTAGCGGCTCTTGTAAAAGATAGGGTGACTGGGGTGGAGTGGGGATTTGGGGGAGTGTACGGACCGGTAGGAGAAGGGTCCAAGGTACTTTTTTGGGAGGAACTAGCAAATGTTATGGGGAAGTGGGACATTCCATGGGTTCTAGGGGGAGATTTTAACACTATTAGATTTCCGGAGGAGAGAATAGGCTGCAATTTGATTTCGAGGGCCATGGAGGAGTTTTCTGACTTCATCAATGATCATCTTCTTATTGACCTTCCTCTGTCAGGGGAAAGGTTCACTTGGGCCAGGGCGGAGGATTCCAACTCAAGGTGAGACTTGATAGATTCCTGATATCGCCCTCATGGGACGAGCTAGTGCCAAATGTGCTGCAGATTCCTTTACCTAGGCTGATTTCAGATCATATGCCTATTTTGCTAGATGGGTGCAGAGGAAGAGGGGCACACGCTCCTTTTCGATTTGAGAACATGTGGTTGACAGTGTCAGGTTTTGGAGATAAAGTGAAAGAATGGTGGACAAGCTACGAGGTGTCAGGGACACCTTCATTCCGCCTTTCAAAGAAACTCAAATTGCTCAAGGGAGATATTATTAGATGGAATAAGGAGGTTTTTGGGAGGGTAGAGGTTAAAATGAGGGAGCTTATGCATGAACAGAGGGAGTTAGAGAGAGGGGAAGGGGTGAGAGAGTTAGATGAATCCGAGAAACAAAGATTGGGGGAGATTAAAAGGGAAATAGCTGAGTTAGCAGTAGCTCAGGAGACTAGTTGGAGACAAAAATCACGGGCGCTGTGGTTAAAGGAGGGAGATTTAAACACCAAGTTTTTCCACAGGGTTGCGGTTGCAAATCGAAGGAGGAATTTCATACAATCTGTAGTGGTGGATGGGGTGAGAATGGAGGGAGAGGAAGAGGTCAAAGGGGCGATAGTGGGGTTTTATGAAAAACTGTACAAGGAGAAAGCTAGCCGGAGGCCTACTTTAGGGGGAATAGAATTCAACCATATAGGGGAGGGAGACAGTGAATGGCTAGAGAGGGCTTTCGAGGAGGAGCAGGTGCACGAAGCTGTGTCAAGTTGTGCTGGTGATAAGGCCCTTGGTCCTGATGGTTTTTCCTTTGCCTTTTTCCAGGTTTTTGGGACACCATTAAGGGGGAATTAATGGAAGTCATTGAATACGTCCACTTGAATGGTGTTTTCGAGAGAAGCATCAATGCTTCTTTTATTACCACTGTGCCTAAGAAAGAGGGTGCAACTTCTATCACAGACTACAGGCCTATTAGCCTAGTGGGGAGCATTTACAAGATTATTTCTAAAGTGCTATCCAATAGGCTCAAGAGGGTTCTTGACGTGACAGTGTCGTCCTCCCAGAATGCATTTGTGGAAGGAAGGAAGATCCTGGACTCAGCTTTGGTGGCAAATGAATTGGTAGACTCCAGAAGGAAAAATAGAGAACCCGGATTACTATGCAAGTTGGACCTTGAGAAGGCTTTCGACCATGTAAATTGGAATTTCCTGGACTTCATCATGATGCAAATGGGATTTGGGGCTAGATGGAGGGGATGGATCAAGTACTGCATTTCCTCAGTCAGATTTTCTGTTATGGTTAATGGTAGCCCGTATGGTTTCTTTGGTAGCTCCAGGGGTCTCAGGCAAGGTGACCCACTATCACCTATGCTATTCATTTTAGTGATGGATGCTCTGAGTAAAATGATGGCTCGCGCGGCAGGCGGAGGTTTCTTGTAAGGATTCTCAGCTCCGATCGGGGTGCCCAGTGCACAAAGAGTCTCTCATTTGCTTTTTGCGGATGACACACTGATTTTCTGTGACGCAGATATAGAGCAATTGACCTACCTGAAACATGTACTGCAGTGGTTCCAGGTAGTATCAGGCCTAAAGATCAACCTTGGCAAGTGTGAGATTTTTCCAGTGGGTGACGTTGCTAACATTAATGCTTTGTCTCTCGTTCTCAAATGTAAGGTGGGCTCTCTCCCCACTAATTATTTGGGCCTCCCTTTGGGAGCTTTGCACAAGGATACTTCGGTTTGGAACCCGGTAATCGAAAGGGTGGAAAAAAAATTAGCAGGATGGCAGAAACGCTACTTATCAAAAGGCGGTAAGGAAGTGCTTATTAAAAGCACCTTATCGTCCATGCCCACGTATTACTTGTCCCTGCTGCAAGCTCCTGTGAGCGTCGTAGAAAAACTGGAGCGACTTCAAAGGAATTTTCTTTGGGATGTGGCAGATGGAACTAGAAAATTTCATCTGGTGAATTGGCAGACCGTCACTTCCCCAAAGAAGTGGGGAGGTCTAGGAGTAAAAGATCTTAGGGTATTCAATACAGCTTTGTTAGGGAAGTGGCTGTGGAGATTCAGGATAGAAGATCATGCTTTATGGAGGGAGGTCATAGTAGAAAAGCACGATTCCACGAGAGGGGGTTGGAGGACTAAGGCAATCACATCACCTTTTGGGTGTGGCATGTGGCGAAGCATCATGAAGAATTGGGAAGACTTTAATGAAAACATCACTTATAGGGTGGGAGATGGAGGGAGAATTAGCTTTTGGAATCATAGGTGGTATGGAGAGGATACTCTGAAGGTCTCTTTCCCCAACGTCTACAGAGTTTCGACCCAGAAGGAATTGATGGTCCAACAGATTCGCAAGGAGCATGAAGGGGGCATAGTATGGGACCTCTCATTTAGAAGGAACATGCAAGATTGGGAGATTGCAGAACTCCATGATTTGTTGGCACTGCTATATGGCCAACATAGGACACACACTTCTAGCGACTCTTGGAGATGGGGGCTGCGTGGAGATGGTTTATTTACCGTCAAGTCTTATTACCAGAGCATGCTGGTGAGAGATGAGGCCAATTTTCCATGCTCATCAATCTGGATTCCTAAAATGCCCACGAGGGTGTGTTTATTTGCATGGCTAGCAGCGAGAGGAGTGATCTTGACTGCTGAAAATTTGCGGAAGAGAGGAATTACAGTTGTTAGTTGGTGCTACATGTGTAAAATTTCAGGGAAAGAAGTTGATCACCTGTTACTGCATTGCCCTGTTGCAGCGGGCCTGTGGAGAGAAACCTTGTGCTTCTTTGGAGTTCAATGGGTCATGCCTAGCACTGTTAAGGAAATGCTATACAGCTGGGCCGGTTCCCGTCGAAGAAGAAAGCAAAAGGCGTGGAAGTTCGCCCCCTTAGCTCTCATGTAGATAATTTGGGGGGAGAGAAACGGGAGAGCTTTTGAGGGGATTGAGTCTAGTTTTTCTCACCTTAGGAATAGTCTTTTATCTTTAATCGCATTCTGGTGCACCCATATAGCACCTACGTGTATGCAAGATTGGGCTTCTTTTGTAGAGAATCATGTTCTGTTGTAAATTCTCTACTTTTTTATATACTTCTTGTACGCGGGAGTTCTATCCCTTTTGATTAATACAATTTACCTTATCAAAGAAAAAAAAAGAATTCCAGTACCTATGATGTAGTAATGGGATTCTTCTGTTTGCAGGTCCTTTTTCCCTTTTACTTTCTCTGTGGAAGTCAGGAGTACATTCTTTTTGGAAGCATCTACAGGTTTCGATATTTCACATAAAGGGTGTATCACCATGCCTTCAAAAACTGGAGTATGGAAGCAAATAAGTAGATTATGGCCTGAATTTCAGAAATTCATTTCATTAAAAGTTGGAAATGGAAGCAGAATCAGGTTCTGAACAGATGTCTGGCAAAGTGATGATAAATTGATGAACAAATTTCCTACATTCTATAGTTTAACCAGGAATAAACAGTGTACAGTAGCAGAGTGTCATACAGGGGAAGAATGGAGAATCAATTTCAGGAGAGACTTTAATGATTGGGAAGTTGATGAAATTGGTCAACTTTTACATTGGTTGGGAACCTTTGACCCTTGATGCTAGTAGGTTGGACACTCAGATTTGGGCAGCTGGGAATGATGCAAATTTTCAGTAAACAGCTGTGCTATAGTCTTTTGCAAAAACAAATAGGCCGCTAGGATTTGACTAAGCCATGGAAGATGTTATGGAAATCACAAGCACCTCAGTAGCTTGTTTTGGCTCGACTGCAGCTAGATATGCATGTTTAACTCAAGATATGTTGCAGACCTTTGACCCTTGATGCTAGTGGGTTGGACACTCAGATTTGGGCAGCTGGGAATGATGCAAATTTTCAGTAAACAGCAGTGCTATAGTCTTTTGCAAAAACAAATAGGCCACTGGGATTTGACTAAGCCATGGAAGATGTTATGGAAATCACAAGCACCTCAGTAGCTTGTTTTGGCTCGACTGCAGCTAGATATGCATGTTTAACTCAAGATATGTTGCAGAGAAGAGGAACTCCTTTGTGCAGTAGATGCTTTTTCTGTGAAAATTCCCAGGAATCTGCAGAACGTCTCTTTTTGCATTGCAGTTATACAAAAAAGATATGGGATCTGTTCCTGGCTCTGAGTGGTGTGCAATGGATGATGCCAAAGAATGTGAAAGATCTACTGGTTTGTTGGCAGAATCAGAAAGTCAGAAAAAGCTGTAGCAAATCTGGAAGATCATACGTCTTTGCATCTTTTGGACCATTTGGTTGGAAAGAAATAATATATGTTTTGAAAATAAGAAGAACCATTTAGCTAGTGTTAAAAATAGTTGTCTTCATAACTTAATACTTTTGGTGTAGGAGAAGTTTGGCAGAAGACAGAACAGCACATGGATTCTACAGAAGTTTTGAGATTGTAACAGTTTCAGCTGTGCAGTTTTTGTATGCTTTCAGCACCTTCTTGGTACATTATCATGATATTTACATTACCTTAACAAAAAAAAAAAGACCTTATATATATATATATAGACAGACACACACACACACACAGAGAGTTAAGACCTTATTCATTAACTTGAAAGGCAGTCAACATACCGTTGCAGTGGTATCTGCTGCCCGTGGTTGCACTCCTTTGAGACCTACAACCCTACAGAGTGGTACAGAAATAAAAGAAATCATCAGTTAATGACTTCAGAACTTCTAAGATCTGTGAAATGGGAAACTACGTATCGGAAAAACAAGCAGTACACGGCAAGTAGCACACTGCCCCAGAAGACGTACCAACCGCCCCTAGGAGCATCGGAATAAGAGCTTGGATCCATAGGATCCAATTCGTCATCTTCATCATGTGTGCGTTTCCGTTTGTCTTTTTTGTTACTTTTACCCATTGGTGGTTTGAAACTGGACCTGCAGTCCAAATGATCAGATAATCTTCTTAGAAAATTAAAAAGATTCTCCTCGATCTATATGCATGAACTTGGTTAAACAGAATTCTCAATTAGTTTCAGGTATTGCAGAGAAAAGTTTCCGCTTGAGCTAGTCCAGACGGGCAGTTACTTATTACTACACGCAACATGATGCAATTTTTCTGACATTTTGTTCTGTCATCATCTGTATCATCATCATTTGCCTAGCAAACTATTTAGCTCAAGTGGAAATAAAACAAGTATGAGAATTGCTCATGACAAACAAGATACAGAGCTAGTTTGCAGAAACTTTTTCAAGAAAAATTACTTCCATTGTCATAGATATCTACTGTATTTCACCAATATAAGTTCCAAAATAGTAATAAGGAAAAATGCAGAGATAAAAACATTTATTAATTTAATGTTTAAAGGGATAAAGCAATTAGTTCATTCACCAACTAGCATGAAGATGCACCACTCTTAAGTGCAAAACAAACATGCAAGGCTTCCATATGAAAAAACTTAAGCATCATTATCGTAGACAAAAAGGACTAATGCTACATCAAAGACCTAAATTTCCTAATTGTATACATATCAGGAAGATTACCTACCGTCAGAAACAAGAAAGACCCCAACTGTGAAGAATCAGGATCTGACGCTCAACTTTAATATTCACGCATGCTTAGTTCCTCTCATTTTCTCTTAAAGATCCAGAAGAAGAAAAAAGTATACAAAAAGAAGAAAAATACGAGAGAAATTTGAGTTCTGTGACCTTAATTGAGGACAAGAAACTATACTTTCTGAATCCATATCAGACTTAATATTCCTCCACTTCAATTTCCAGAAAAGGTAACAGGCTCTTTTCTTTCCCCTTCAATAAAATTATCTTCAGGTACACACCTCCCTTAATACCACCAACGAGCCCTTCCCTTGGGGATGTTGGGAAAGAAAAAAGGGATAAAGGAGAGGCTTAATAACAGTAATCAGCACCAGAGAAGCCCAAGGGTTTTCTTTAAACACCAGCAAAGCGTACCGGTAAAGTTGTTTAAAATATTATAGACTTGAACAGTGAACACGCAGCATACCTCTGTCCCTCAAACTTTTTGTCAGTGTCTTCTGTGGCACCTGCATTGCCAAGTGTTTGCTGTTGTCTCTCCACATTTGCTGACAGATAGTGGCTTTGAGGAAGCTTGAGAACTCTGCATCCAAAATAGTATCAACATTCAGAAGAATGATGCATCCTAGATAAGTATGATCGCTGAATTTGAGAAAACCACTCCTTTAAATGCTTAGCTATTAGCCAGGGAATACTTTTATTTATTTATTTATTTAAGTCTACAAAATGCCCCCTCAAATGTGTCTTAATTCTATTTCTCAAGCCAAGATTGTGGAGATATTTTTGTTTCTGGGAGACGGTAAAACTCAAACAGCCTCTCTACCTACACAAGGTAGGGGTAAGATTGCGTACACACTATTCCCCTCAGACCTCACTTGTGGTATTACACTCGGTTTTTTGTTGTTGTTGGTGGTGGTGGTGGTGACAGTCTAAGTTGCTCGGACTCGGGTGTGGGTATCCGATACGGGGACGGATCCGAGTATCGGATTCGGTAAAATCTAAATTTTAAGATTCGGGAGTGCGGATCCGGATATGGATACGGGTGCGGGGATTCGACTAATAAAAAATAGAGCTATAAAAATATTATAAATTTTGAGAGATATTCTGTGAAAAACTTACATGATTCTTTCATTGTCCTAAATCTGTTTTATTTTTGATTTTGAGAAATCAAAATCTCAATTTTTCTCCCAAATTTGTCGATGGACTCCGGTCAATACTTATATTTATTTGTTCAAGGTCAATGACAACGATGAAGTTTCAAATGATGCAAACTTAATGGTTTAATTGAGTGGACTATAACCATGTTCACGGATACCATGTTCCAAGGGTTTTACTGGCTGTTTTAAAATCTAAAGTACCACTACTAACAAGGGAGTTACAACACAACATAGTTATTTGCTATGGATTAGCTTTTTGATTCAGAGTTCTTTGTATAGCTTAAACAAGACAAAAGAGGAACTTGAAATCTAAACAAGCAGAGGCACTAGAATTTCTTTAACTTTATAAAGTAGAGTCTCAAACTTGCTCTTTTTCTCCTCAAACATAATACAGTGAGGAAGAAAATACACTTGTCCCTTGATTGTTCTGTAAGGGTTTCCAAAGGGATTTATGACGTCTTGAGGCACTCCACCCACTGCCTTAATGTCTTGGGAAAAATGCTGGAACTATTTCACCAGTATTTTAGAAAGCAAAAAGGGCCCACATTGTGAGAAGCAAAGCGCTCTCTTCATTGAAGTGAAAGCTTAATTTTTAATTCAATTAAAATAATCAATTATACAAAGTGAAATAGCTGAAAAGTTATCTTTAACACTATCTAAAATGCTGAAAGAAATTATACAAACTAATCAATTATACAAACTGAATTTATAACTATTTAATACAATTTTAAATAACAAAAAAAAAAAAGACAAAGAAAGACATAGTAATAAATTATATAAATTGAAAAGGAGAAAATATAAAGCATCCACCTTCCTCTTCAGTTGACAGATTCAGAGAAGAAAAAAGAAATCAGCTTCTTTCCCACCAGTGAAATTCGAAGGTAGAAGAGAGGAAGAAAAAAAAAAGGGCAGCTTCTTCCCCATAAAAATTCTTACTTTTTCAGAGAAGAAAAATAATCAGTTTCCCAACCCAATCCATTGAAATTCGACGGAGAAGAAGAGAGGAAGAAGAAGAAGAAAAACATTTCTCCTTTGTTGAGATTCTTGAGAAGAATGCGTCTTCAAATTTGCGCTTTTTCTATAAAAAGAAGTGATTGCTTCACAGATTGAAGCGCCCGCGTCTTTAATGTCGCCTCGCCTCACCCACAGGAAGCAATGTACATGAGCTTCGCTTCATAGCTTAAGTGCCGAAGCACTCTCTTTTCACAAAAATGTATTTGACATGCTATCAGAGTTGAATTTTGGTAAGCCCATTTGCACAAAACGTCGTCTCTCTACCTACTTTGTTATTCTAGGCTTTTCTTGCAACTCAGCTGATTGAGCCACTAACTTTGTTCCGGTCGTCTTAGCATGTTAAGTGCTCTCACAACTAGAATCCCACTCTGTATCCTAATGAGTTTGATCTCTCTTTACATCAGGTCCACTCTTAAGTCTTCTAAAAAAATGACACAGAAAAGTCTTCAATCCACGTGACAACTCTAGAAATGAAGTGTACGCGAGAGTGCTAAAAAATACACTTGTCCCTCATTGGTTGTGCAAGGGTTTCTAAAGAGGTTTACAATGTCTTGGGCCACCCCACTATTCCCTTGAGGTTTTTGACTGGATACTCAAATTACTTCACAAAGCCGAAAACAGTAAACTCAAAGAACCCTTCTAATTCAATTGCCTGAAGTAGATACTGGATATAGGCGGTGCAGTACATAAACAACAAGCAAATAGGAGTGCAAAAACAAGAAAGTCCTAACAGCTGTGACAAAAGTGCAAGTTCCATCAGAATCATGCTCGAGAAGTACTTGTACGTGGTAGAATTATACGAGAACAAAGACAAATAAACATAAAAATGTCAAAAGAGAAAAATATATACATTGACAGCATACCGAGTGCAGTGTTTGCAATAACCCCAGGACTGTACAAGGCCCACACCCCATCCACCACATTCAATGCATCTCTGGAAAGTGGAAGCTTGGTTACCCCAAGTTACAATAGTTGCATTGCTGGAAACTGCTGTATCATGGTGCTGCGTGGCAACCTGCTGTGGTTTAGAAGGATGCACCCATTGTGATACATTCGTCTTTGAATTATAGTAGTACTTTTGACCTGCAAACACAGTTTGTAAAATAGAAAACACAGGTTCAATATGATATGAAAATGTCAGGATCTCATTCAACAAAGTCTGCACTTGGAGTACTTTGATGATTAGATAGTAATAATAATCAAAATCGTGACTAGAAGTCTGATACTTTAAATAAGATTCTTTTTTTTATTTGTCTAGCAGTAAAGGGACTCAAAATTACTGATAGTTACACCTCTCACCAGTTCATAAAGAGAAAGAAAAAACGCTTGTTAAACCTATGATGCACAGGGACCCCATGGTCGAAAATTCATGCATAGTTGGGCAATGACACAATAGAGATGTCTCATTATGATAAAGGAGAAATGTAACCGGACCTCTGGATTTAGGGGATTGGAAAATCAGCACATTCATCCTAAGTGTTACTGCACCTTCGTCTATTATTCTAAAACATAGCTTTTTAACATAATGTATCAGGATATACTTACAGCAAAATGCAAATGAGAAAAAATTAAACAAGAAAAAAGGAAGAATATCAAGATGATCGACAGTATGTCACCAAAGGCCGAGAGACAGAGACCGACTTATCAAATTGCAGTTTTCATATATGTGTTCTGTACACTGAGCAACTTGCCAAATTGTACTTCACATCCCAGTGTTTAAGGTTCATCACAACTTTAGTTGCTAGATTTACAAGTTGAAGCACTTCAGCTTCTTTTGGTTTTTACTTATGAAACAAAGAAAAAGGAAAAAGAAGACTAAGCCTCGCAAAACATACCATATCGAGATTATTTATGAGATATATACAGATGTAAAAGTTGTATCTGTCTCCAACTTAAAGGAATTTCTGTTCTAGCATTGAGAGTAGATTGTGTACACTGAGCAACTTGCCAAATTGTACTTCACATCCCAGTGTTTACGGTTCATCACAACTTTAGTCCCTAGATTTACAAGTTGAAGCACTTCAGCTTCTTTTGACTTACGAGAGTAGATTGCTTTTAAAGGGAACTATTTTGCATTGCTACAGAAAACACAAGTACTAATAGTTTGCTTTTTCTTTTTAACAGGTAAAGTATTTTAAAAGGCAAGCGCGAGATGGTGCTTGACATTACAAAGTCTAGGAACCCCCTATACAAAAGCAAAAAAGAAGGGCTCCCATCTGTACATAACCCTATTCCTGTAGTGAGTTGATGAAATCTAACATGCTATCATCATCATTTACATCTTGATTGTTACATCTCTGTACTTTAGCAGCTGTACAGAGATCGCTTACCCTTCAAAACACCTACAAGCAGTACAAATGAAATCTAATCATTTTACTCTTAATGATCTCTTGTAGCACGAGTAGATAAATAAGGATCATTTAAGCTGAAGTTGTAAAGCATCAGAAAGTATATAAAAGGGTTGTGATTTGGTCTGAAATCAGTCCGCTATATCCCCAAGTCCTTCCATTAACGTCAAACGGTCAATGAGCTTCAGACTTACAAATAGGAAGTTGTCCATAATTCATCGTACCAATAAATATGACACTTTTGTGAGGAACAATAGTTTCATATGCTGTAACCTACAAATAAATGACCACTTGGATCTTGGCTTGGATCTGGTAGGTCAGGAAAAGTTAATGATAGTTGCCCCTGGCTTGAGCCTAGAACTATTCTTGTATAGTTCTTCACTTGAGTTGCCGGACTTGCCAGCAATCAGTGCCTCGCTTTTTGGTAGCATTAGAGATGATCATTTCTCTTTCTTCAGATCCTTTGAAATTATCAACTTTTACACAATCATTGTGCACTTAAGGTTTTCCCAATGTAAAAAGTAAAGGTAGTTCAGGAATATGACCCTAGCATTTATTTGTTGGTATGAATCACCCTGTCTTTCTTTGCTTCTTTCTTTGTTTTATCTTTTTACATTTGAAAGGTCCTATATTTATCAACGAAGATAAATTACTATAGCAGCCCTTTTTCATAATGCTGCACTGTGGGCCGATCCCGAACCGGACCGGACCGGGCCCGCGGTCTTGACGGGCCTCACGGGCCTGGTGGGCCGGTCTTGGTGGTCTCTTAAAGCCCGAGGCGGGCTGGTCTTCTTTGGTAAGCCCACGAGCCCGGGACCGTTTAGCCCGGGACCGGCTGGCGGGCCTGGTCCGGGCCTAACGGCTATAATTTTAAAAAAAACAATTTTTTTTTTTAAAAACAGCCCAACGGCCATATTTAAAAAGTAGCCGTTTGGGGCTTTTTTTGACCGTTTGGTAGTTTAGAAAATGGCCATTTGGCCCCCAAACTTTATTTTAACCCCAAACTTTATATAATTACACTTTTCCCCATTTCTCAACTATAAATACCCCCTCATTCTTTCATTTTTATTCACCAATTCATCAATATCTCTCAATCTCTCTACTACAATTTCTTAATCTATTGTTTAAATTTCGTGAAAAATTGTGAAGTTGTTGAATTGAAGTTTTCAAGTGATCAACGATTTTCAATTTTCAAGAAGTTGTTCGGCAATCCGGTAAACTCGTTTCAACTCTTACGTTTT